CCCAAGAATGATGTGATAGATGTTTCATCTGCACTGGAATCTATTGGTTTTTCAGTAACTAAAACGAGGAATCTAGCATATCAGGATATGATGAGTGTTTGTTGGAATTTTACACAACAAATACAAGCAGGAGATGTGGTCTTGTTTTATTTCTCTGGACATGGTACTGGATGGAAGGTACGTACTATGATAGCACTTTTATGTCTAGCTAATTCTCAAATTTTGAACGCGGACGTCCTTTTTGGTACTTCTAGGACCAAAATTATCTGTTACCGAAAAATTTCAATGGATCAGATAAAAACTTAAACAAAAATGCGGTTGAAATACAATCGATTGTTGACCAAATCAGCGATCGGCAACCATCTATGTCAATATTTATTTTGGAGTGCTGTAGAAAATACCACGCACCCAACGGTCGTATAGATAAAAACACACATGGAATCAATGACTCATATTCTAAACCACTTGGTCTATATGCGATGAGACCTAAAACCGGAGCAGTGGTTGCATTTGCTTGTGTTCCTGGGACTATAGCTATGGAGAGAGAAGATGAACGGAATAGCTTATTTACAAAGCACCTTCTGCAACATATTGTAACGCCTAATGAAGACATCCGCAAGATATTAAATAATGTTACAAAGGCAGTGACTGATGAATCAAATTCGAAACAGATCCCGTTTTTTAGTCATTCTTTACTAGATAAGAATATATATTTGTCCAGTCAAGTACAAGGTAAGTAGTCAATTTTGTATCTATTTTTTACGACTACAGAAAAACATTGTTCAGTTTAAATAGAATATCGGGGACCAGATTAGGAATCTTTTAATTACTAAGAATTCAAAGAATACGAGTAGCACGTCACGGTTTATTTGAAAAGTTTGTAAATAACAAATGTGGGTGTGACTTTGAACGGATGAACAAAGGATCAACACAGACACGCACTCTCACACCCATTCACTCAAATGCACCCACACCCACTCGACAGCCACAGCTACATCCAATATTTTCATCCACCGATACACACTAATTACCTGTGTATACTTTCGATCGCACCCATAGCTGAGGTGATGTTCGCGTTCTGAAAAGCATATAATTAGGTAACAAAAGTTCATGTTTTGAATAAACGAAGAATTTTGCTAAATACTGCCAATTATGTTCATGAGTCTCCTGAGAGAACATTCCCAAGTAATTCGCAACGTTTGGATTCATCTTTTGCTGGTGTGCGAGGCTCATTATATAGGTCAAGAACCTAAAAGGGGTCGTGCCATTGCTATACAGTTTCAAAGTTATGAGCGAAATATCTATTGTGATAGATGGTGCTACCGTCTATTCAGTAATAGTTTCTATTTCCCGTAATATAACTGAAACGTATTTCTTAAAACGTTTTTCGTTCGAGCAAAGTGAGACAAGTTTTTACTATAAGTCTCTACGGAAACGACTATCTTCTAGTTAAGATACAAAAGGAAGAAAAAATGGTGCATCGAAGGTGGCACCATCTATCATAGCAGTTGTTTCACTAATAACTTTGAAACCGTATAACAATGACACAGACTCTTTCACGTATTTGATCTGTATGATGAGTTCCATACGCCAGCAAAAGATGAATCCAAGCGATGCGAATCACTTGAGAATGTTCCCTCGTTAGTACAGTGGAAAATAGCAGAATCAGGTGCATGTTTTCTTTTAGTGTGCGAAAGGACCACTAGAGCGACTCCAGTGAATATCTTTCTGGAAACTTTGTAGAGAATTTCACAGTGCAGCTTTTAAAACAATCAAGATTCTATTCTTTTTCAGTACCGAATTATATGCATAGTAAAAGTATCACAATCAATGTGATGCACGTAATTTATAGGCGTGTAGTACATGATACTCTCGACAATTTACGTTTATTTTGCAATTTCCTAAAACAATTTTCTGAAACAAGATGAAGGCAAAGTGGGCTGTGTTTTTTTAATCATTCTGAATATCGATAAACTTTTGCGACAAAAAGAATATTCTAGCTCAAAGATACAGCCTTGTAAGTGGCGAGACCGACTGTTGAGAAAAGAAGAGATCCATACTGCCATACTCAGTTAATTTAACCCCAGCCATGTACTCGCGCTCACTCACTTCTACATATACAAGGATTCATCAACTCGACAGTTTTGACTCTTGGCAATACAAAAAAAATTTGTCTACCTTGTAGAAACAGTAAGATAGGATATCGAAAAAATGTATCTCATCCCCAGCCTGAAAATAAACATCTCAATAAGAAAGTTCTGCCGAATAATTATTTGTTTTCAGTTTTATTTGCATATCATGATGATTTCTTAGATGTTGACATCGAAGACTCACCAAGTGCTTCTGATAATGCAGCCAAAAATAAACCAGAATCATCGAAATCAAAGACGAAGGACGGCATTGAAGAAAGCGATCCATCTGTTGTGAGTCCTCGATTAACGAAGAATGATGAAGAGGGCGAGACTTCTACAGTGGAAAAGCCTATAGTAGCAGCTACGCCGAACGAAACTCACAACAAACAACATTCTTCAGTAGCAACCAAGGTAAATGAATGAATGCATGCATTCTCGAATATCTGTATTGATCGAATCCTTTATGTCTATCTATAGATGCCCACAGAACAGAACAGCAAGACAAATGAAGGTACGCTTTGGAAGACGTGCTCTTTGTTGCACGCTTTCCACTATTATGTAGAGTAGAGAGGAAATTGGCTGCTGAAGACCGCTGATTCCCATCAAAGATTGTTTAGCAATGGCAAACATTCAAGACTGAAGATGTGGGATGAAGTTTCAAGTTCTCTCTATTGCTTACTTAGTCTAAGAGTGTGAGGGTGTAAGTGTGGAGTGTGATTGTGGGTGAAAGTGTGGGTGTAGAAGTAAGTTTGAATGGATGAACAAACGATTAACACAGACACCAACATCTATGCATACCCACATTCACACCGCCGGTATTCGGAAGAGAAAGCGATCTACACGGATATACACAGTTTATTTGACCTAGAGATGTTCTTAGCCTTACCAACGTACACATGTCCTACTGAATAACTATATGTTTTCAGTTCTATTTGCATATCATGATGATTTCTTAGATGTTGACATCAAAGATTCACCAAGTGCTTCTGACAATGCAGCCAAATATAAACCAGAATCATCGAAATCAAAGGCGAACGATGGTATTAAAGGAAATGATCCATCTTTTGTGAACCCTCGCTTAAGAAGGAATGATGAAGTGGCCCAGACTTCTACAGTGGAAAAGTCAATAGTAGCAGCTACGCCGAACGAAGCTCACAACAAACAACATTCTTCAGTAGCAACCAAGGTAAGTGAATGAATGCATGCACTCTCGAATATCTGTATTGATCGAATCCTTTATGTCTATCTATAGATGCCCACAGAACAGAACAGCAAGACAAGTGAAGGTACGCTTTGGAAGACGTGCTCTTTGTTGCGTGCCTTCTACTATTATGTAGAGTAGAGGGAAAATAGCCTGCTAGAGAACATTGATTTTTCACCAAAGATTGTTCAGCAATGGCGAATATTCAAGATAAAAGATATGGGATGAATTTTCAAGTTCTCGCCTTTACCTACATTGCATAACATGGGTCTTTAGCATACTTGAGGCAAAAATCTGAGATAGGCTTTACATCTTTCAACGAAGAAACACGAATCTTTGCGTGAGTTTTGTTAATAGTTCATATTCGTACTTGTGTCACAGTTGTTTGAAAAGAGGTGTCTCTTCATATCGTAGTGCAAGTGGATTTCTATGCATCTTTTTCTCGTTCTATATTGACACTATCTATCAGAACTGCATATATCCGTTGATATGTCCTAGTTTGATTCAGTCTATTGTTTTTGAATCAGTACGTGTTATTCTGCAATCTTAGCATGACAGCAAAAGGCACTGAACTTGATATATGATTCACCAGATCTTTTTCTTGATACAAACTGCTTTGAGAGAATACACAGATAATGCTCATGGTTTCAAATAAAAATGTCTAATGGATGAATGAGATGCGGAAAACTTCATAAAAGCGTCTAAAATTTGTCAGCATAATATGTCATCCTTACTGAAAAAGTTCTATTGAAAATGTGCCTCTGGGTGTATGTGTTGGTCTTATCTTCATTTTCATCCACAGAAGATTGTGTGGCTGGAAAGTTTGAAGTTGGTAAGAATTTAGAAACTCAAACCGATGCGTCGGATCAGAAAAGAGTGAAATCTAAATAAATTTTCCAATGATAGACAGCATTGTAACATAATTAAGTGAACTGATAGAGTGACTTCTAATCACTCTAACAATGATTTTGTTTGACTTTTTTTCATTGCAGCTATCTATAAAATGCAAAAAAAACCACGCTGCATGCCGATTCCGATCAGGTATGTTCTGGAGTTCAATTATGAAGATACAGGATCGCAAGAATATCACTTTTGACGAGCTTTACAATTAGGTGAAATATTGAGAAAAATATCATGAATGTTTAGAAAAATCTTGGCTCGATTTCCAGTATCATCAAAGCGGCACAAAATCGATCAAACAGCCACATGAACTGGAAGCAAATATGCTAGATCCTCCTGAGGATATTAATGATGACATACTGAATCGAATTCAAGGATCGATGGTTGGAATGGCTTTGGGTGATGCTCTTGGTGCTCATGTAGAGTTCCGACCCCGAGCATTTCTCTTGCAGAATCCAGTAACCGATCTAGTGGGTGGAGGAACTTGGGGACTGAAAAAGGGACAGGTAAGTCGTTGTCTGAGATATTGAATCATAGGAATTTTCATTGATATACAAAATTGACATTAAAATTATTTTCTTATGAAAGTTCTTGCTAGTTTCGCTCTTCTACATGACTGAATAATGGAGATTTATCGAAAAGATTTATTTTAGTTCACTGACGATACTTCCATGGCCCTTTGTCTAGCAGCGTCCTTGGTTTGCCGTCAGGATTTTATTCCCTATGATCAGCTTGTTCGTTACAAGTGGTGGTATAAGCATGGTTATATGTCTTCAACCGGAAGTTGTTTCGATATTGGCGCAGCTACTAGTAATTCACTGAATGAATTTGAATATCGTCAGCAACAGTTTGCTGCCAAGCATAACATTCCGATTGCACAATTAGACTATCTTTCTGATGCTGGCCTGTTGACTAAGTTCCCAGTGAAATGTAGTGAATCAGGTGTTGCTGGTAATGGAGCCCTTATGCGTCTGACTCCCGTACCACTTTTCTTCTATAGACATCCTGTTCATGCTGTCGAATACTCAGGATTTAGTGGCATGATTACGCATGGAGATCAAAAGGCCTATGATGCATGTCGTTATTATGGTGCGCTGATCGTAGCCGCTGTACAAGGTGCCGAAAAGGAAGAGTTGCTAGATAACAAGTTTTACGAAGCCCATTTATCGTGGTTTAACTCCTATCCACTGGTTCCAGAGATCATGAAAATCGCTCATGGGTCTTATAAGCAAAAAGGTGGATACGATGCTGGTATTCGAGGCAAAGGACACGTTGTCAATGCTCTCGAGGCCGCTTTATGGGCATTTTGGTCTGAAGAAACCTTTGAAAAGGGTGCTCTCGCTGCTGTCAATTTAGGTGATGATACAGACACAACTGCTGCTATTTACGGTCAATTAGCTGGCGCCTATTATGGTTATAAAAAACTACCTGGAAAATGGATTCAACATATCTATGCTAAAAGTTTCCTACTAGGTTTGAGTAAGTGGATCGCCTACGAAGGAGAGATGTGGCAGCCAAATTAGCCGTTGGTTTCAAAATATCTGTTGCAATAAAGTATAATAAGGTACCAAGCACGAACTCTCCATTGAAGCATAGCGCCGAAAATACTGGGTGTGGGTGTGATTGCACGTGAGTGTGGGTCTTGGCGTGGGGTGTAGGGTGGGTGAGTGTTGGTGAGTAGTTGTGGGCGTGGGGTGTAGG